CATGTTGGTTTAATATTTTTTTATCAAAATTTATTGATATTATCTATTATCGTGAAATGATCTATCGACAAAGTTTAGCGGTGCTTACTTATAATACAACTTATACACAAATATCTATGCTTATTTTTATGTTTATGTCTATACAACGTGTACGCACATTTTCATCTATATCATATCGTGAAAGTCGAATGTGTGCACTTATGTTAACATTAATTGCATTTATATATGGAATTATTGTATCATATATGCAATTATATGATGCATTTTGTATAGAAAAATTAAATTTAACAAATAATCAAACATTACAAATTGATTTATTAATTAATGATACAAAACATTTAATTAATATAAAATGTACAACAACAACAAGAACTACAACAATTTTAACAAATTTAATAAATAATTTAGGTAGAAATAAACAAAAAATAAATAAATAAATAAACTATTTTTAGTTTTAATTATTTTTCTAAAAATAAATCTTTTTTTCTTTTTTTCAGTAATTAATCCATCGACAGATTTTCCTTTGTCAGTTATATTTTCTTCGACAATTTATTCTATTTCAACATCAACAATGTCAACAAATAATTATTATCAAACTTCCTTATCATCATTAATTAATAATAATGATTCATTTGATATAGATAGTAATTCAATGTGCTATTCAGAAACAGATTGGTATCGTATTCGTCATCGTACTATAGCTTATGTTTATCTTCAATCATATATGTCAATTGATTGGCCGGATGAACATGCTCAACAGTCAATATGTCATCTTGAAAGTATTTTACCACCATATCTTCTTACATTAATACATAATTTAACATGGTCATCATTAAAATCACGTCCTGGTAAAGATTATTTTCATGAACATCAATTTTGTACACAAACATATCATTTTATTGGTTCATATGCAAATTGTTCAATTCCTTTAGCACCTGAAACATTTCAACATTGGTATAAATTCTTATATGATCGTCGTTTATCATTAACAAATCGTTATACAATTGGTTTTATAATTGGTACATTTATTCCATCATGTATATGTGTTATATCATCATTTGTTTGTCTTTATTATATATCAAATCGACCATCTATACGTAAACATAGTCATTCACGTGCTGAACTTCGTTCATTATCACTTATATTAGTTGAAATATTATTAAGTTTATTGAATGCTTTACAATCTTATATAATAAATTTTTTTACATGTCATCGTTTATTATTTCGTATGGAAACTGATAATTGCTATGGACAATCAAGTGATAATATTTTACCAAATTTTCTTGGTAGTATACTTGAATTATTTACATCAACATCTAATATATTAATTTTAATGATATGTGGTGCACAATTTCGTAATGAACTTATTGAAATTCTTCATTTAAAAAAAATTTTTCCAAAAAATCAACAACGTCAACAATTAAATAGATTAAATCAACATAGAAGAATTTGTAAACGTTCAAAAATAAATCCACCCCTTCGCATGACATTGTCATCACCATTAGCAAAAAATGGAATTAGTAAAGTAAATGATATACTAGACGAACCATCAATTGATTCATTTCTTACTTCATTTCATAATAAAGAAAATTTTAGTATGACTGAAGTTGAACAACAATCTGATGATATTAGTCAATCTCATGTTAAATCGACTATTGTTTAATTTATATTAAATAGGAGATAAATACAAACAAGACAACCATCCGATGATATTAAATGATGCAAAAGCACTGTTCTTTTTTTTTTTTTTTTTTGTTTTTTCGTTTGTGTTTACATTTGATTGTATAGTTGCATATATACACATATTATATTCATTTTCAATGATTATGCAACATCAAAACAATAATATTAAAATAGAAGTATGTTAAACATTATATAGAATAAGACAAGAACAAAAAGATTTTTATTAAGAAAAATAAATGACATTTAAATCAAAGAAATGGAATAAGAGCTATGTTAATAAAAGGAAATGAATATTGACAATAGTTCAAAGTATCATATTAAAGAAAAATATAAATATCCTACTAAAAAAAGAAACCCAGACAAAGAATTAATAGATCCATTGGACAGTAAGTTGATCTTTTCAGCAGACAGAAAACATTTGAATCCATTACATTTAAGAAGTATTAAGGAAAGCAAAGTTCACATTAAGTGCAATATGTGCGTCTTGTTTTGGTAAAATGCGTGGGTGTTAAGAAAAAAAAATATAGATTAAAGTCAATTAGTACGTCTAGATTCCAAATACACTAGACGAATTAAAATTGAATAAAGCATTCTGATTAGTGTTTCCACATAGCAACACCAATTAAATCGTCTACTGTGTTTGACCAGTTGTACAAACTTAGACTTCAAAAGTAACTATAAACATTAGTGTATTTCGTAGAGAAATGGAAATTTTAATTTATATTAATTATTATAATCCTAAACGTAATAGGATTTTCTGTTCAAGAAAGAAAATTGATTTATAAAGATATTTTAAATTGAAATAGAAGAATAAAACTTATTACAAAAAGTTATAAAATATTAAAGATGAACAGAATTTGTTTATGTCTATAATAAAATATGTAAATTTAAGTACTTTCTTGATCTTAACACAAAAGTGTGTTCCTGTAAAACACTATCTTATAGAAGTGTTGCAGGATATAGGGTAGTACATTTGCACTCCGGACAGACTATGACAAATATTATCATAGAAACGTCACGAACTCTGACAGACACATTAGATAGATTTGTCACAGAGATGATTGACATTCTAGCAGGAGTATATCACAGATCTGACAAACGCCCCTAGCAACGTCTGTCCTTCGTCATGGACAGTGATAGACACCTTATTAACACTTTCTCTTCTCTTTGCGTCACAGATCGTGGCGGATGTTATTGATATACGATCAAGGAGCGTACGTTAATAACATCTCGTGATACTATATAAACTACGTCTTCATTGCATTTCTGCAGGATTAAGTAACAAAATGACGAAGAAATGTGTCTCGAAATAGACAGGATAAAACAATATTCTACTAATTTGTAATAACAACTGCAATTTGTTTTACATTTTAATCTCGTAGGATTACGCTAACAGGTTTTTAATGAATAAGAATTATTTACATATGAATGATGTTGGATTAATATGTAATAGAAAACGATTACAATTCGTTTTAGTTCATAATGTTTTCCTCAAGTTTAAATTCTTGATCTTATATCAAACAAAAAAAAATATTTCAATGCTTATTTTTCAGTACATACTATTCAGATGTTATTCTTCATTTGAATCCTTGTTCTTTCCTATCATATTATCCGAAAAATTCTCTTATAACATTTATAATATCAATTTTCAGTAATTAAATACTAAAAATTTATTTTATTTTATTTCATCGAGATATTTATCATTAATATTGCAACATAAATCAATTGAAATTATTAATAAAAACTTCGACGTAACATCAGCTTCTCTCCTATCAGAAAAATGTCAATATGAACAATGTTTTCATCAACTTGATGATGATCTGAGTGTAATTTTTTAACAATCAGACACATATGATGAAGAAGAATCAAAAGAAAAATAAAGATCAAATGACTAATATTCGACAGCCATCATAATCTATCTGCTTCATTGAATTGTTTGTTTTATATTGTAAATGAAATTCTTTTATTTGAGTATCTTAACAAATCGGTTAAGCATAATTGATTGTATCTTCAAAAACGAACTGAATACATCACTTCTATCCATAATGCAATAATTTAAGACCCCTCTACCTCTCAAAAATTGATCTTGGATGAGGTACATTTAGATCTCATGAAATTTTCAGGATATATGTTAGGGCCGTAGTGAAGGGGCTATGGTAAAATGTTTAGTCCTACATCATGATGTTTTAGCGAGATAATCAGCCAGCAAGGGTCAAAAATAGCTCATTTGAAGATTCTAAATTCTGTATAGGCACTCGTTCTATATACTCAGCCTTTTTTTGTTTGAAAGATCAGCCAATATCTCGAAAACCTTTCAAAAAAAATGGCACTCTAATTATAAAGATACTCCTTTATATAATAGTAATAAAGCTTAATTTAAAGAAGAGACTCTATCATGTTCTGCATCTTGACATGGTCTTTCAAACGAAAAAAAGCTATTAACTACAATGAAGCTCCTTCGAGAGTTCTGGAATGCACGATCGAAAATACCTAAACAACATAGATCCATAAGAAATTGAAAGTTTTCCGATCTAATTTTCTTCAGATTCCACAGTACTTTTACTTTAGCCCTTCATGTTCTTCTAATTTCTTCAATATTTCAAGTCTCGTTAGTCCATTTGAGGACCAGAGTGAAGATGATTTTTGAGATGATGATGAGTATGAAGTTATAGTTGAGATTGTGGGTGGGTACTAGCAAGAAAGATATAAACAGATTGAAAGGATTAACAGGGCTAAAAGAATTATAGGATATGGAGAAGATTAGACTGAGAAATTTTCGATTTCTTATGGATCTATTCTAAACAGAGAAAAAGCGAAAAAGATTTTCCATTTTATCTGAAAAAAACATATTCCAAGCAGATTATGACGGAAATTTTTCGAAGAAAACGACGTACCAAATAAAAAAAATCATGCCGTTTATGAGAGATCAGATTCCAGACTATCTTTCATTACCTTTATCTCAATATTCATGTTTTTGACGAAAATTAACGTTTTTTTTGAGAGGTTTCTTCAAAAAAAAAAAAAAACAAAAAAAAATTTATATAAGATTAAATATATTTACTAAACAAAATATTATCTGTTTCAAATGATACCATTCATATAGATCCTATCTACATAGAAATATGCCGGTATATGTTTTTAAAGATAAGCAAAATAAAAAACTGTACAAAGTAGAAATACAGTAGTTTTAAAAATACGAAATTACTCAATAAAACTTTTAAATTAAATATATCATTAAAAAGTTTTCTTGCTTTTTTCTTTCTAAAGTAATTAATCATATTAAAAAATTTTGTTGTCTTTCAAAGTAATTGATATATTTAAATTTCTCCATATCTTCGATATTGTTGTTCATTTAGTTTCTGACATGCCATACACTGTTCTCCATCAGTAGGTCCACAATATCCATCCGTTCTTCTATCATGTGTCATTACCATTCGACCACAATAAAATTTTGTTGTTTCTACTCGACTACATCTGGCTGATGCTCCATCACGATTAACTAACCATCCACGTGGTAATTGACGTTTTTGAACATCAAGCAACATACATCCCGAACAATTACAACCATTTGATGTTCCACATTTACCATTGCAACATGAACATTGAAAACCATCTAATTCACCACCACAATAAAATTTACCAGAACTACCTAAACGTGCATATCGACCAAATTTATTTTGAGTTCTTTCAAGTCGATCATCGAATTCGACATTATTACTAGGTGCAGGAGCTTCAACAAGAACTAAACAAATAGTATTATTATTTTAAAAGCGATAACACATAAAATATAAATTGTATCTTACTTTGTGGTCTTTCATCCGTGTGTATTATGGTCACTCGTTCAATATTTTCTGGTTTCTCCCATAATTTTTCATAATTATCGAGTAAAAATTGTTCATGTTTATTTGTTAAATGTTCGAGAAAAAACTTTTTTGGACATTTAAAATTTTGACATTCTGGATCAGGACATGTTATTGAACTATAAGAACACTGAACAGCTAGATGATTAGCTAAATTTGAACGGCTAACTTTAACTGTACAGCCATCATTAGGACACATTACAGTCAGATTACCAATGAGACGACGAGCAAAATAAGCAGGAGTCGTTTGATAATTTTCGGTACGACAAGTAGGGCATGGTTCGACATTTTCAATGCAAGGTAAACAAAATAGGTGATGACAACAAGATGTTTCTACTGCATTATCTGCTGAAGCTACATCTAAACAAATTGCACACGTCAGCGAAAGATTTAGATTATCATCGTCGGCCATTTTGATTCTATAAAAAGTATTATTTGGACTATATTAATAAGATATGTGTACTCTAAAGATGAAAAAAAAACAACAGCAAACGGAAGAAAAAAAAACATTTTTTCATGATAAAGGTTTATTGATTTTACGCAAAACTCGTAATTTTTGTGCAATACGCTAGTCTTACTAGAAAAAAAAACGCATGATGAATGAAAAAATTTACAAAAACGAGGCAGTGAACAGAACAGAACGAGAAAAGAATGGTAAGGCAATAAGCATGACATTAGTATACACACGTGGAAGATGCAACAAAAAGAAAAGTCAACAATCAATACACGTTACTTTGAATGATGTAAAGTAAATTTTGATCCTATCACACATTACTCTGCTCTCACATATTTCTATACTCTCCAAGGCCGATATTTACAGTATACATATGTACCAAGTGTTCCAAAATGTTTACACACTTTTTATTTTGTATATATCTCAGCACAGATAAATGATAAAAATCTTTAGTTTCTTTTTTTAAAAGATGCATCATGAAAAGCTCTACAAAAAATGTCAGAACAAATTTCTACTAACATGTTCCCATGATTTTTCCTGTACTCAAAATGAAACACTTACATATTATGCTACTTCCTACCATAGTAACGGGTGGGATAGATTAAATGATCGTGCGTTGCATTTCAATTTTCAATCACTTGATATGCTGTCTTAGAAAAATAAAATATAGCACAAGATGCAGTGTGAAAAGCTCTACAATTTACAAAAAAATCAGTTTATTTTATATGTGCATCTTTGATTCTGAGAATAGACACAATTCTATGCGATCAATATTCGATGTTGCGCATAAGATCATTTACCGGTATACGACAAATTCCTTTTCTTATTTATTTATGTCTTCAGTTAATGAGTCATATCATAAGCCATCATTGATGATCGAGTTTAGACCAATCGAACTGTGTTCCAATTAGATTTTTGTATTAGTTCTGATACTACTTGTTAGAGACACATGCCATCTACATGATAACAAATCACAAATGTAGAAGTGTTATTAGTTAAGAAAAAGAAATGAAAACTGAAGATCTTCGAAAATTGGTCGCATAGAATTGCGTCCATTTTCAGAACAAAAAATGCATATATAAAATAAACTGTTTTTTTTTTTTGTAAATTGTAGAGCTTTTCACACTGCATCTTGTGCTATATTTTATTTTTCTAATACAACATATTAAGTGATTGAAAATTGAAATGTTACTCACGACTATTTAATCTATCTCACCCGTTAATATGATGGGAAGTAACATAGTATGTAAGTGTTTCATTTTGAGTATAGGAAAAACCATGGGAACATGTTAGTAGAGAGTTGCTTCGGCATTTTTTGTAGAACTTTTCACTGCATATCTTTTGAAAAAAAAATTGAAGATTTTTATCATTTATCTATCCTGAGCTATATGCAAAATAAAACGTGTGCAAACATTCTACGACACCCGCTGTATATATATATGAAGCCTGGTCATGTTATGTTCCTCCACCTCCACTATCAAAATTTTGGCTATGTGACTAGAATAAATTTAAGAAAACATAATATTATTGCAATTGCTGTCTACTGACAATCAAAAACTTTTAATATTAATAAAAAAAAGATGATTGACAAGAAACGAGCATCATCTAAAACCTCAAGTATATTTATTATGTATTCCATTACATCAAAATCACGTCACTTTTAGCGGTTAATCAATGATTTTGCAAAAAACAATCCACAATAAGTATTACTTTATGAAGATCAATGTTCTTTTTCTTTTATTTAAGTCATTCCAGCATCACAATGAAGAGTCAGTATTATTTAATGCAAACAAATACATTTTTTATTTTATTTAAATCTCTCTATAACAAAATGATCTGCATTATTTTTTTTAAAAGAAATTTTATTATTCTTTTACTACGTATGAGAAGAAAGAAATCTCGTATTTAATTGAGTTAGTAATAACAATAAAATGATCGATTTTTGTGCAATTTTGATGACAAGTGTGGTAATATCATTACACTGCATTTTGAAACGATATTTGCATTTATCTTGTGTTAGATTCATAATAAAAAAATAATAAGAGTAGATCATAGATTTTTACCATTGGCATTATAAATGGAATGACTAATTATAGGTTGAAAAATACGATAGGGAACAGGAAAGAGAACAACTATAGAATGTTGATTTAAATGCGACATAATCCTGTCAGATTAGTTAAATTGTATCGCAGGATCCGATAAGATTCAATGATCGGATTTCTCGACCTGGGTCTGAATGAATCCGTCAATAATTCCAATATGTATTATTAGATGTAGGTCTCAAATGACTGCAATAATCGAAAATTGCTACAAACAAAATAGCACCAACTTCATGACAAAATTCATAAAAAAATTAATGAGATTGACAATTGTTGCTTAAAAAAGCAGTGTAGATGTTTTTTTTTCTAAGGAACCATGTTATGTTCTATTCAGTATCATATTTTAAACATAATTATTTTCTCTTTGTTGTTGTTTAATCGAACACAAGAGTTTTTGCGCATTGTAAAAAATGATCCATAAATGAAATTAATTGTATTTTGTTATTGTAAGATATAGAATTATTTTAATTATATTTCACTCAAAAAAAAACACACATACTCTTAAATATATCATTAATGATTATACAACTCTACAACGATCTCATGTCATTGTTGACTAGATGCGAAAAATGTTTGAAGTGACATGGCACATCTGCAAAATATCTAATTCTAATTTTATAATGGATTACTAATATCATTTACTATAATATGCAACTAGCAAAGCAAACAAGTATCATATACTTTTTACCATGCATTGTCAATTTCACAGCATCACTTTTGTTAAATCTTTTTTTCAGAATTTAATAGATCATAAATTTTCTCTAATATTAATTGAATAGAAGATGTATATATCATACATTTTGACACATTAATAAATAATTAACGTCGACATGTTACATAATTGTTTTAAAGAACATTAAAATTACTATTAGACTCTGTGTAGAATTTTGGTTGAATTTTGAAATATTCAGAGATATATTTACGCCAATTTGATGAGACTATAAGTAGCATCAACAGATGATTGCTCTCAAGTGACAGTATGACTTATAGTTTGTTGTCTGTATATTTCGATACATTAGTTTACTCATAACTAATTTTGTATTAATTCCCCAAAAGATTTTCAACATTTATACACAATTTTCAATTCTACAACTAATATGTCAAAATAAAATATAGTTTGTCGAGATATCTGTTCAAACTACAAGTGTCCTGGAATGTAGTAGAATATGAAGTGTTGCTGTTAATGGAATAAGATTATTTGCTCGAATAGAAAAACAAAAGTTATTCTCGGAAATTAAAATTTAAGATCAGCCTAATAAGCTACTACGTTCACTCATTAACCTTAGTCACTACTGTTGTGGCTCAAACTCTACTCTTTTTTCATGTCCATTCTCTAAAATACTATTTGATAGGCTGTTGTTAGTTTTCTTGTAGAACTATCTTATTTTTCAATTTTCTCCATCTGTTAACGAGTTGCTGAAAACCGAATGTATTCAAAGTAAAGACTGCTTTGCAAAAAAAAGAAAACTAATTGTTAAAAAAGACTTCTTCTAAATATCTTTCCTTTTTCGATATATAAAATTAATCTTTGTATTAAAATGTAAGTTTCATCTATTTTGTAGTACGATGTTCTGAAAATTTCATCACGAATAACTCATATGTTTTCACTTGAATTCTTACTTTAGATCTGATGACATGTCAGAGTTGTGTAATGAGTTAAAAGTTAGAACTTCTATCTTTTATCTTGGCTGAGAAACTTAGATTATGTTAAGAAGTTGAGAATGATCTTTTTTAAATGATATTTCAATTAAAAATAGGTCAACCGAAGTAGCCATTCATACTTTTTTTTTACCTCATTTCATTAGAGAAAGTTATTCTACATTTATTGTCAACAAATGCGAAATAGTTTTATTGTACAGAATTTTAGGAAAATGTTTTACTCGATTTTTCATTAAACAAATTTTCTTTATGATGCATTTTCGCTGAAGTATTTTATAGCTCTGCGTGTTTTCATAAAAGTCTTGAGAAATATTTTCTGTGTAATATATACATAGAATAGAATAGTATCAACTAACACGATAATATTTTATCCCACTTTCGCTTTTCTATGTCAAAAAGTTGTAATCTGGTTAAATATAAATCTACATGTGTGAATGAAAGTTTCACATTGTATGGAATGTTTACAGTTTCAAAATAGTACCGAACTATTTAACAGAAAATAACGCCTTCCTCATATATACAACTTTAACTTTTCTAGTATTCTTCATAATTATTGTCCTTGAATAAAATTTCGAAATAGCATTAGATAAAAATAGAGCTTTTTCTACTCAAAAAAATTAGGCATTTAATAGGACATAATTTATTTTCGACACTACTAGATACGAGAAATAATAAGATGCACAATTATAAGCGATTAATCAATTTAATGAACATGCACGTTGTTTTATAAAACATCTTTATGAACATTGAGTTTTTTGCAACTTATCTGGCTATTTTGCCACATTTTGCTGCACTTGTTGTCTTCGTCTATGAGTTACTATCGTGTTCACTTCTAATTAGAGGATAATTCATTCTTTAATGAATATTCCACACAACTGTTACTATTTAATGAGTACTTTTTTTTTCAAAATATTCTGATCTTTAGACAATGAGAGATTAGATGTCTTTTTTTTGATTATCTGTTTGACTAGATACAAATTATCTAGTCATCTTATGTGACTAGCGTGTTGGAAACTCATAAGGACTTGTTTTTGTTTCCAAAGTTATTATTATAAGTTTTTTACTTACTATTCTTTTCTGCAATTATTTTATCTAATTAAGTTATTGAAATGAAAATGATTATTTCATAGAATCATGTTAGATTATATGTCAGCGTAATTGAGAATTTGTTAAGATAAAATTCAAAAAGCTTCTCTATTTTGTTCAACAATAGTACATGATTCTTAGTAAAGAGTTGACATTTCTATTGTAGAAAAGCGAAATAAAAACAATCGATAAATACACTATTGTTTTAGATATTAAAGAAAGAAAAATTAGGTTTATTCATTTAATCAAATAGGGATCAAAATGTCTACACCAAACATTTCAACATTGATTGATATTTCACATACCATAACTGTATATGTTGGTATAACAATTTTTGTTGTTGGTATCATCGGTGGTTTGCTCAATGTTATTGTATTTCTTGGTCTACGAACTTTTCGTGAAAACTCTTGTGCATTTTATTTAATTATTATGTCATTTATTAATATTGGTAATTTAATGACAGGTCTACTTTCTCGAATTTTAATCAGTGGATTTCAACTTGATTGGACAATAATTTCACCTTTCTATTGTAAATTCAGATGGTATGGTCTTCAATTTTGTGTTTTAACATCTTTTACATGTACAAGTTTGGCAGCAATTGATCAATATATATCTACGTCTGTTCGTCGTCAATTGCGTCAATGGAGTAATATCAAAACAGCTCATAGGTTGACAATAATATTTATTATTATTTGGCTTCTTCATGGAATTCTGTATTTAATATATTTTGATTTAATTCAATCACCAACTACAGGCAGCGTTGTCTGCGATACCAATAATATAATCTTTCGACAATATCATATGTATGGTCATATTATTATCCTTCAATGTGTTTTACCTCTTACAGTCACTAGTGTTTTCGGACTTTTAGCTCGTCACAATGTTAAAAAGTTAGCACATCAAACAATACCAATTGTACAACGTTGTTTAGATAAACAATTAACTATCATGGTTCTTAATCAACTTTTCTATAATTTTATTTTTACTTTACCATATACTATTTTGACAATTCTTACACTTTTTCTAACTAATGTGAAAGATCCAGCTATTATTAGAATGTTAGATTTTGCAAATGTTATGACCATTCTTTTATATTATTTGAGCTTTGCAGTAAGTCTACATTTATTTTATATTTCAGTGACTAATATCTATTGCTTCTTTTTTTTCATTTTATATAGTGTCCTTTTTATATTTATATTTCTGCATCTGAACGATTTCGTCAACAATTAATATACGTATTATTCGATATATATCTCAAACGATGGCGACGACCGGAAATCGCTACCAATCAAATAGCACCCTTTCCACAAGAAAATCCGTAAAAAATTAACAGAATTGACAATTATTACTTAGAAAAGCAGCGTAGCTTTTTTTCTAAGAAATCATGTTGTGTTCTATTCACTGTCATATTCTTAAACGTCACTGGCTTTTTTTGTTGTGTAATTGAAAACAAAAGTTTTCACATATTGTAAAAAATGATCCATAAATAAATTATTTGTATTTTGTTGTTGTATAATATAGAATTATTTTGATCATGTCTCACTCAAAAAAGCACATATACTCTTAAATATATATTTAATCATTATACAACTCTACAATAATTTTATCTCTTTGTTGTCTGGATATAACAAGTTCTTGAAGTGATCTATGAAATCTACAAAGTATCGCGTTGCAATTTTATAATGAATTGCTAATATCATTTGTTATAATGTGCATCTAGCACAGCAAACGAGTATCATGTACTTCTTACCATGCATTGTCAATTTCACAGTATTACTCTTGTTAAATCTTTTTTTAGATCTTAATAGCTCATAAGTTTTCTCTAATATTAATTGAATGTAAGATGTACATATCATACATTTTGACACATTAACAAATAATTAACATCAACATGTTACACAATTGTTTTAAAGAACATTAAAATTGTTGTTAGACTCTGTATAAAATTTTGATTGAATTTTAAAATACTCAAAAATATATTTATGTTAATTTGATGAAGCTATAAGTAGCATCAACAAATGATTGCTCTCGAGTGATAGTATGACTTAAAGTTTGCTATCTGTGTATTTTGATACATTAGTTTACTCATAACTAATTTTGCATTAGTACACCAATCAATTTTCAAAACTTGTACACTATGTTCTATTCTATAACTAATATTCCAAAAACAGTGGTGATCCGACCGAAGGATGCCAGTGGTGTAACATCCTTCTTCTGAGTGTGGGTGTGGGTTCATAGAAGAGGTACATCCACACTCACACCCACACCCACATTTTTCATAGTATGCTTGAATTTTTTTGGATGAGAATATCTTTGATTTTGTTCTTGAATATTGCTGAATAGTAATTCGCTTTGGAAAATATCTGTGATTTACAGAAGTATTTCTATGACTCAGCTCGAAGTCGACCAAACATTCTTGAAAGGATTTTTGTTGACATATGGAGATTTCTTTTATGTCTCATTTGAACTTTAAGTTTTTGTTCTTTTAATTCATGATTGTCTTATTAACTGTTATATACAGTTTTCGTTTGTGTTTTTTCCTTTGAAACCAAACATGTAAAATTTGATCTTTTCTTTAAATTTAATTTCCTTACTCAATTATCTTTAGGTGAGATGACACAATTCTGTAAACAACATGCAATACGAGAGATTAATGACAGACGTTAGAAAACATCTCCTCTTTTGAAAATAAAGATTAAAAACTTAGCACTAATCTCTAATACGATTATTACTTTTTCTATAAAACAAAAAGAGACATGTCCGGATTCCGTGAGTTCTGAACTCGTGGGACTTTCAAATCTACAACTTCATTCAGGGAATCATCAGAACTTACAGAACTCACGGAATTCAAGAGATTCTAAGAGCTATAGAACTTGTTGAAATTTAGATAACGGATGAATGCTAGCATTTCAAACGAAATCGACAGCATCACGCTTTCCTTACCCACAAATTTTCAACTACTGCAGTGGTATCTTACATCCAGAAAAGAGGGATACCAGAAATGCTACAAGAGATGATAAATATACGGTACAATCTTTTCTATAGATAGTCAAATATGGATGTAACTCTGGATGTAGAGAAAACAGAAACCGAAACTCATGCTCACATCTTCTCGAGAGTCCCGTGAGTGAAGTTGCACTTTTGAAAGATCCAGAAGTTCAGAATTCACAGAATCCGGTCACTACTGAACCGAGTCGATCTGTTATGGTTCGTTTCGATTCATTTTTGGTCTCTGATCGTTAGCTGTACTTCTTCTGTTACTTCATATAACTTATACTTTTTGTATCAAATCTTATTGCAATTAAATTAAATGCACTAACAGTGAATGATTTCAGTAGAGTAAAGCCAGCAGCAAGAACACATTATAAGAGTTTTTATAGAACTAATCTGGCAATAAACTCAACTGATCCACCATCAATAACAATTAATTCAACGAATGGATTTGACTTTTTATTTTTTTAGCTTGCAAGAGACATGATTGAATTTCGTCTTCATTAAAATTAAAATATTTTATTATTCTATTTTTGTTTTGTTCGTCAAGGAAAAACGAACTTCAACGAAAAACAGGAGTCTATATTTGTATACCATCAGTGTCGATAACCACTTTGTAATGAATCGCACTAATACAATTAATCAAATTTTTGGAATTTACTTTTACGGATGGGAAACGATCACGATTTTGACCATAACCAACATAGAGTGGTCACACCAATATCGTGTTACAACATGTAATATGTCATGTTTACTTTATCGTTAATATTCATATTTTCTCTTTCATTTCTAACGTACTCTCGTTTTTGAACACTAGAAATATATCGAAGTAAATAACAAATGATGCGTTTATAAGAGAAATAGAATGATGAAAAAAAGTCAATCTAATGTTTTTTTTTGTAAAAATTTCAAGTTGATATGTATTGAAAGCATGATTGAAAATTCAAAGAAAAATAAAAATGACATATTTATATTATTAATGTTGATGAAGAAAAACAATCATCGATCACTTTCATATTCATCTAAGTGTTAAATCACTCTTATAATCAATCGATATTCTGAATCTCATGTGTAGGAAAGAATCAGATATTTTATGTAAATGATCAAACAGACACTTGAAAAAAGATAGTTCACAAGACCATCAAAAACATAGTAATACTGAAAAATTTTAAACAATTATTTTTTTTTTATCTCAAATGAAAGAGCCTGATCGAAAATCTATAAATTCAAATTGTTAGCTCATTCGAGCTTCCATCTGATCAGTTATTAAGCAAACATTTAATGAATCTTCCAACAAGTATTGAGAAGAATAAATCTATACTCTGCTAAATTTGATTAGTTAGTATTTGATCATTTTCTCCATAGTGACCAAAAATTATTCGACGATCTATGCTTAAAAGTTTTTTTTTTATCTTATATCTTTTATAGGAAGAAAGCCAAAGAGCTTGGATTTTCTCAAGTTCGTAGGTCATGATCTCTAGTGTAAACAAGTTTAGTTGTAACTGACAGTTTCTAATTGTTTATCTTTTCTTAAAAAAAAATAACACAAATCATACAATTTTTTATCTTTCATAATTATTCGATCGTACATCATTTTCATAAAGAATTAATCAAATCATTAAAAAGAGTTTTATCTATTCTTGCTCAATCGAACATTATTATGATTTTTGATAGTTAACTATCATCGGTTATATTTCCACAAATCATTACACGTTTTGTTCTTAGTTTATTGTTTATATAAATCGTCAAAATGAATTAATTAAGGAATGAATACTATGTTTTCGGCAACAATATCGCATAGTTATACAAAGTCTTATCAAATATGAATCAACTTTAATATTATTCCATTTTAATACGATGAATATTGAGATTAGATAACGTAAATATAAGAAAGATCTATCCATATCATTCATATTTTTATCTAATATGAAGAACGTTCTGTAAACTAATTAATTTATTACATCATTTCTTTCATTCAAATACTATAATGTATAGCTATAATATTTTGAATGCCTCGTCATCAAAAATAACTATTGCATTATGCTCTTGTAGCCACTCGTAGAGGTCTCAGGATTGAGAAGGATATACACATTCCCATTTTCATGGTCTTTACTTGTAACAACTTTTATAAGATTAATTTTGTTTAAAAAACTTATGCTTTTAGTGATAGGTTAATCTAATGATAGGATATTCTCATCTGATTTATATTATAACTAAATAGAGAAGAAATCAACAACAGAATAAATCAGAAGAGAGAAATGCTAAAAAAACATGCAAAAGTTTGCAGGTTATCATGTAGTTTGATGCTAAAAATGTCTGCAGAGAATGTTAATTATCTACATATTGCATTTTAAAATAGATTAAATGATATTTCGCAGCAGCTAAAATTACATATGAATGCACTTAAAAAGATTGTCATGCATCAAGTTATACTTAGAAACGTATACATTTTTTTAATCATTCGGTCAACTTAATAGTTCAGTTAAATAAACTAATATGACAACAGCAACTGGTTGTTTCATTATTTGATTCTTTCATTAAGAATTGATTTAGTTTGCAAACAGTAACCGATGCAATTATTGTTGTTTCAATGTTTGCACAATAGATATCCTCAGCAACTATAGCCAACTTTTAATTAAAATAGTGTTGAAATTGCTACATACTGCAGTTGTCTATTCTTTTCATTCGTTAGACTAGTCTCTGATCATATCCATTGTGCTACTTATTGAAAAGAATTAAGGCTGACATGATATTTGAAACTAAAAAAACATTTAGTTTTACTTTAGTTTTAACGCGCAATAAGCATAGAAAAGAAAATTGGTTTCAAAGATAAATTAAGACACTCTTCTCAGAGAAGTTAATTTGCGTCAAAAAAATGAAAATGAAAATAAATGCCTGTGAAGAGAGCCCGAGGTTTAATCTGAAACAGACAACATGATTTACTGTTTAACGCCTCCGTTTTGTTTTAAATGTTCTTCGCCATCTTCTACTTGAAAAATATACTTGTTTCAGAAAAAGCAGGGAATTTTTTTCGTTTTTTTTTCTATTTATACTTTTTTGGACCGCGCAATCCAGAATTTTCTATGGATCTTCACTTAATATATTTAATGTTTTTTTTGTTTCAAAGAACATGTTAAGATGCAGGATATGACAGAGTCCCCTTTTTAAAATTAAGCATTATTACTATTATATGAAAAAGTAGTTTTATAATTAGAGCGCCATTTTTTGAAAGTTTTTCGACATATTGCACTTTTCATTCCACTTTTATCCTTGAACAGCAAGGATTTTAATAAAAACAAGACAATGCAGTCTAACATAGTCTTTCAAACAA